TGTGTGTGTGTGTGTGTGTGTGTTGTGATGTGAAATCGGTTCGCTTGGAGATAAGCGTGATATTGGCTTTTTGATGGTACCCACTCTTTAACAGCGTGAACAATAATGTTTATGAAACCCATCCTGTGTACGGCCTTAAGTATTCCTAATTGCTGTTTATATATTTGAAGCTAAATTCTAATACTTATACCTAATATATAAAATATTTAAAATACAGTAGATACCAATTTAAAAATCTAAATAATACCAATATAAAGTAAATGAATATTTTTTTAATTTCTGAGAATTAAAAGTAAGGCAGTGCCTCACTTGCTTCATCCCCAAAACCGCCACTGATGTGTACCTACTGATCTCAATTTTGTCCTGGTGATTGTATCTAGTGATCATTTTGCAAGAGAGTGTACACATAATTAATTATTTAAATGACATAACACGTTCTTCGTTAGTTTGAAGTGGTTGTGAGAAATATAGGTAGGTATTTAAAATAATCGAAGACTTATGTAAAATAAAAATTATACAATTTATTATACAAAAATGTATTTAATGTATTATATTATTAAGGCGTTTGTGTAGATAACTATAATTGCATTTGTGTTCATTATTATTATTATTATTTATGGTTTCACTTATATCTACATAATATTATTTTGATAAATAATTTTGAAAGCACTTACATTTTGTGTTTAGTACTTCGGTGTTCACAATTCTCAAATTAATTACCTGATTAAAAGTCAAATGTTTTTTTCTACCCGAGTGATGTTTCAAATTTGTGATTAATTGTTTTAGTGTGTACTCAGTACACTGTACTGTGTAATTGTGCAATGTAGTTCATTCGTAATTATTTTATTATTCTTCATCATAATAATAAGTATAATATAATATAATATGTATATAATCTATAATATATGCTTGTGGAAAGAAGCGTAGAAATCTGAACTCCACAAATTGGAGTCGCCATGAAGACGTGTGCAAGAAAAAAAAAACTTTTCGTAACTTTAGTTGCAGTATTAGTAACTATTTTAAGAAGACTGAAACTCAATCCGTTACAGACGTTACAGCTATTATGGACATTTTCCTAGATACCTAATAAATTGATTAAATACTGTCTTTATTTATTATATTTAATTTAAAAATTGCAATTATAAATGTTCTAGTCTCTACGATTGATACTTATAGAATAATAAACAAATATTAATTAAAGTAATTCAAATAATTCAAAGTGTTTTTGAAGTTAAAAATATAGATATATTTTCTATCAAAAAACATAATAATGCTCATTGTTTCGTTTAATATTTCACACACATCAATTTCAACGTCCTACTTTTTATCAAAATACACATTCTATTATTTAATGACATTAGTTTGTTATTATAGTTATTATAATTTTTTTTCAGTAGTATTTAGTCTAGAGTACAGGAAGAAAATAACTATTACAACTTTGGTACACAACAAATGTTTTATGAAAAAGTAGTGTAGATTATTGGCACTTTATGTATTATATTTTTATGAAAAAGTATTAATAATGAAACTGAAAATCAGTAATTTATACTTAAAGAATCAAACAAATTATTTTTAACTAAAAACAAATATAGTATAAGAGATCATCATAATAAATTCAAGGAAAATCATATGAAAATATATTACCAATAACTGATTAGCAATAAATATTAGTAAATATTTCAATTGGCCGACCATAAACATATTTTGTGTAAGGACAATAAATATTTCATGTTTTGAAAATACAGTTATAGAACATTCATATACATTTTATTTGTACATTGGGAACCACGTTAATTTTTTTTGTTCAATTATATTAAATATCTAATCACCATTATCACGTGTCACTCGTATTAAATGTATTCACGTTTGTTTGGATATATATGAATATTTTTACCAATTCCATCACGGCAGTATTTATCGAATTAATTTTTTATAGGTAAGGTGTAGTGCGTTTTTTTCTTTTAATACATCGATTAAGTACCCATTTGTTATAATTTAACGCGCAAAACAAACCATTTTTAATGTATAATTTTAGTGAAAAATTAATTATGCATACCTACACTTGCGTGCATTCAAAATAACCGTTTATTTGGTAGAAAAGAATAAATTATTTATTTCAAGCTTTTATACCTGGGTCAAGAACCTTTAACGAGTTACGAAGGTGGTCACGTCGTCGTCGAATTGATCGTCCGAGCCTAAACGGACCGTTGTTGGGCTACCGAAAAACGTAAACACAAAGTAATTCACTGATAAAAGACCTTATAAAGTCATTCACTTGTCAACATATGTCAACGGAGGACGTTTTTTGAAGTGCCATCGCTTTTTGTTTACATCCATTACAAAACTTTGGTGAGTACATTATTGAGTACGATTGTAAAATAAAACCCATTCGTATATTCGTAAGTGTTTCGGGTAGTTTATATATAATTCAGAATAACTGCTTGTATTTATGTTTTATATTTATTTATTTATATTAGATAGTTAATGCTGTGATAATATTTTAAATAAATTATAAAAATAAGAATTGTCGATTCTAAATTTACCATAAAAAATAAGATATGTATATTTAATTAGAATAGTTACTTAAACTAATTCAGGATTATAATTTGCATTTACGATTAAAATTGTATAGTCAATATTTTTAAAGTTTTAACGAATACATTTGGATTTTCTGTGACATTTATTACGAATAACGAAAGACTTTGTACAATTTATTGATGTATAAAAAATTGTCACGAGTACTAAAATAATATTGTTTTAAAAAAAAATATTTAATGAAGAATATATTTTATAATTAAAATTCACCAATGATCGAAAGAAAATAAAGACTAAAATAACAATAATTTAAATAAATTAAATCTAAATTTACAAATACATTGTTTAAAATATCCTTAAAATATTTAACTGATGATGTCTCGTGCCTGAAATACAAATAGGAAAATAATTTATACAAATATTTTTGAATTGAAAATCAACTATTAGTTGTAAAGGAGATCAATCGTTCATGATGTTACATTCGATGTTTTTTTATTTTAGAAAAAAAGCTCTATAAAACATTACTTTGTATCTACACATTGCAGAAGATCTACAAGAAAGGCATGTGGATAAGGGAGACATTGGACAATGGGGATATTTATTCAGTGGCCCGCAGTTCAAATATCTGAACGATTAATTTATACCATCAAATTTATTTCTAAAAAATTCACATAATTTAGAACGTATTTTGTTGTTCAGTGTTCCGTAAAAATCATAACGTTGTCTCCAGAAAGTATCGCTCGTACAATTATATGCGCAGTTATAAGAAAAAAATTAAAATCCGAGTACACTATATACTGAAACGAATACAGCCTGCAATTGTACTTCTGATAAACATGTGATATAAATATAAGCTCCTTATGAATTTTATTTTTTCATATCAATAAAAAATATATATTTTGTAAAATGATTGATTTCGATAAAATTATAGACGTCTATTATTAATAATATACTTGGGACAGGTGGTAAGAATATATGCATGTAAACTCCGCCAGTGAATAAAATTAATATGATATATTATTAAACAAAAATTATAATATTATATAATATCATATTATTCACATAAAATAATTAAATTATAGTAAAAAAATCATAATAAATAATCGTTAGGTATACCTAATAATATAAAATCATATTTTTCATAATAATAATAAAAAATCGTCCACGGTAAATATTTTAATTACAGTAAAAAAAAAAAAATCATAATTAATAATCAATACCTATACCAAATAATCCAAAAATATATAGTTATGTCATGGTTTTATTTGTTTTTATTCAACTAAAATGATGTGATAAAATTTGTAAATATTGTAAGTCGTCTATTACTCCATTAGTGTACCTATTTATAGCATCCTTTATTTAGTTTTATGTAAGTTTGGGTTTGAAATTCGGTAAGAACTTTACTAAAAATATGTACATTCAATAAACTTTTATAATATTAATTTCTAAGATGATTATGAAAGGATTCACAGGCATTTGTAGTTCGATTTAAATTTGCACTTTGTTCAGCCCACAAATGAGAAGGAAACGCTGCGTCATTGCTTATGTAATGGTCAATAAGGTAATCTGAGAACTTAATGACTCAGGGGTAAAATGGCATGATTGCTTCTTAAATAAATATAAATACATCGGAAACTTTTTCGGGAGATAAAACAATAATCCATATATAACTACCTTAAAATGAATCGATCTAACCATGACAATAATTTTATCAATTTCGACATACAACATCATCAACACATCATCGCAATAGATGTCAACGTATTTAATGTGAGAAGGCACGTGGCAATGTAAGCACTGAGCAAGTAAACAAAAAAAACTGGCGGAGTTTACAATCGCCCGGTAAGAATATAGCATTATAATAATCTTCCATGATACAATTAAACTAATAATAATAATAATAGTGATTCATGTAACGTGTTCTGTGAAAATTGTATTATGGTTGTACTACTGTTCTTATTAAAAACGTACGGTGGGAAGAAACTACGTTTGAAAGTATAATTAAAAGTGCATTGTTATAACTTATAAGTACACATAGTTAAGTAATTCGTCATTCATTTGATGT